TATATATATATATATATATATACATAAACACAAAAACACACACACACACATACATATATATATACATATATATATATATATATATATATATATATATATATATATATATATATATATATATATATATATATATATATATATATATATATATATATATATATATATATATATATATATATATATATATATATATATATATATATATATATGGCGAATGCATGCAGAATATTTATGAGCATAATTTTTATTTTATTTTTGGATATAAAGTTTTGGATATGATTGAAGCCAAGCCACAAAAATTGTATTTTTTCTTATTTTTTTTATTTTAAATGAAAAAATCGGCAGCCAACTATATACGATTTGATTTTAGAGTTAGTAATCATTTATTAATAAAATATTGTTTTTCTCTCATTAATCATATAATATTTTACAATTTGATATTTACCCACCAATGTGAGAAATGATGCAAGTGAAGGTATAAATAATAAAAGGAAGATCAAATCAAACACACACATTCTTAAAAAAGAATACATCAAACCAAAACAAATTGTCTTAAAAAAAAATTGTTACAATTTCAAATCAATAATAGGTAGGAACAAAAAACACTTGGTGAGAAAATGTCTAAAGAACTGAAACAAAATATTACAAGGCAGAAAGAATTAAGAAAAGTCAGCATCATTTTCCAATAAACAACATTAATCTTAATAATTAATTAATAATAAAGCTTAATCTTAATAACTAATTAATTAGAAAGCTGTTGCTCTCCTTGCCAAGCCCAAACAATCTCCCCAATCTTCGGTTTAATATCCCGTCTCATCAAACACCGATAATCGATCGAATCTCCACTACACTTCTTCACCTCAACTAGATGGAAAACCGGCCCGATTTCGAATATTTCGATATCGATGGATAAATTTCCATTTTTACCCTCATTAGACCCCTCTAGCCTCAAAGACCCTCGATCCTTCTTCGTCATTTTCAGCCCTACATTCGCACCAATCTCCTCGAATTTCGACAAAATCGTACAAGGCGATTTTACAGAAGTGAACTGAAATTCATCCTTCTCATCGTTGCTCACAAACAAACCAGACAAGTCGAATCCAGCCGAGAGAGATATAATATCGAACGCATTTAGGTTACTCGGTTTTGCCAACTCCATCTTCGTTTCGACAACGTTGACGACCTCGGAAGGTTCCGGAAGCTTCTCCACGTCTAGTACTCCCACTTTCTTGGAGGTGTTCAAACCCTTTCGAAACCAAGGATTTTCCATAATTCTCGCAATCGAAATCCTAGATTTCGGATTAGGATCAAGAATCCTCGAAAGTAGCCTCTTCACTTCGGGCGGGAACCAATTAGGGCATTTGTACTCGCCCCTCGAAATCTTCCTATACATTTCCATAAGATTTGAATCGTGAAACGGAAGATAACCCGCTAGCAAAACGAATAGTATAACCCCACAAGACCAAATATCAGCCTTCGCCCCGTCATACCCTCGTCTGCTTATAACCTCCGGTGCAACATATGCAGGGGTCCCACATGTCGTGTGTAATAAACCATCCTGTCTCTTCGACTCTGAAAAAGCACTAAGACCGAAATCCGAAACCTTCAAAACCCCGTATTCATCCAAGAGAAGATTTTCGGGTTTCAAATCACGGTGATAAACTCCCCTCGCATGGCAGAAGCTAATAGCCGAAATCAATTGCTGGAAATATTTTCTTGCAACGTCTTCCTTAAGCCTTCCCTTTGCAACTTTGTGGAAAAGCTCGCCCCCTTTGGCATATTCCATTACAAAGTAAATCTTGGTCTTTGTGGCCATGACTTCGTGGAGGTTCACTACGTTTTGGTGTTTGATCAAACTCATAACGGATATTTCCCGCTTGGTTTGATCGATTAGCCCGACTTTTACTACCTTCTCCTTATCGATAACCTTGAGAGCCACACCCTCTCCGGTTTTAAGGTTCCTACCATAGTATACTTTGCCGAAAGTGCCTTGTCCTAATAATCTCCCAACTTCGTACTTTTGCATCAATACTTTCTCCTTCGTCTCCATTTTTTTAAGGCACGAAACCTTGCTATATGCTAGCACTAGTTTCGTGTCCTTTGTTAGCTGTGATAAAATTAGAAAGATTGAGTCTTTATGAATAAAGAACTCAACCCTTTTACGAGGTCGTGCGGAATTGGAGAGAGTTGACGTGTTGCCCCATTTTGCTTGCGGATGCAAAATTCGATTTTGCCGTTGATATATTCATCACGCCTGTCATTTTCGACGGCGAATACGATTGGTCCAGACTGAGGCACGATCCCGTGGACAGTGACGAAGGAAGCCTCAGCGATGGAATACATCTTTCCGCATTCCCAGGCACTTGGATATCAACCCAAAGATATCGGTGATTCTGAAATTTAAACAGATCAAAAGTTAGATACATACACATATATTATATATAACTATCGATTAATAAGCAAGATTTGTCTCGTCAACAAAATCGAGCGATCGATTACTCAGGCTACAAAGGATCTTGCTTAGACAAATAGCTGGGATGCATCTTTCTATTTTGATCCACAAACAATGTAAAAGACGACAGCCATGTTTTCGATCCTCCGTATAAGCATCAATCAAGATTCATAGACACAAATCGAACAATTAATCGCAAGGGAGAGAACAAAATCTCAGGTGGCAACAAAAAAAAAGTTATTTTAAATTTTTGCCTGATCTATTACAATTTAGATAGAGGCTATCATCCATTTTTGAGATCCAGCCTCAAATTAATCAGATTTTTGCAACAAGGACCCTATAAACAATATCACACATTCCAAAAGCCCATAAAATATATTAACCAGACATAATATATATCACAAGGGGCTACAGAGCATATAAATATGCAAGCTTTTCAAGAATCAAAATCCAAATTTAAAAAAAAAATTGCCATGAGAAAACAGAAGCCCTTGTTAATTTCAGACAGTAAAATGACAAGAAATAAAACAAAACCTCAAAAGGGATTACTACAGAAACTTTAAATAACGGAAATGGAGTTGCAGAAAAAAATTAAAAAAATAAATAAAAATCAAACCTTTGGTGAAGGGGAAGAAGAACTTCGTTTGGATCCAAAGCCTTGGGAAGAAAAAGGAGAGATGAAATGTTGAGGTAAATTAGTTGTGAGGATTTTGTGGGTGTATATGTATATTTGTCAAGACTATGAACATCTTAGCTATTTATGGAATAAATCTTACGTTATTTATTGTGTTTTTTTTTTTGTACCGTTGTTGTGTGTTCTGAGGCCTGCTATTTCGGGGTTGTTTTTCTCTGCATCGCGGATTACTGGCGTGATTCTGTACTCAAGGAACATGGACCAATAGAATTTTGACACGTGTGAGAAAACAAGCTACGGGGGGTTATTTGGATGAGAACAAAGTAATTGTGGACTAGATTGAAAGTGGACTAGTTTGAAATTTTGAAAGAGAATATCTCATTCGGATCTTATTGGTTCTCTCGCTAATATTTCCGTTATTTTTATGATCAATCATTAGAGCTCATCTTATAATTACAATTAAGCCTTTTAAATTATAGAAAATTAGGTGGAAGTCCCTAAAAAATATTTTCTATAACATGAAGGACAAGGCAATTTTATCTTTTTGCTAAAAGGCGGTATGCCGTATGGATTTGACGTTAGACTATAGTCTCTCTAACGGAATTTTATTTATGAAAGCTAACAGTAACAGTGACAGGTGATTTGCACAACTTTACTATATTAGTAAAAAAACTTTAGAGATATTTGCAAATTGCCCCTTTTAACTAATTGCCTACCCATATTGGAGGCTCAAGGCTCAAGAATTGCCTATCATGACATTATATAATCCACAATTATTTGAATAATTAGATTAGTAGTCTACATATATATTCACCCGTTTGAAATTAGTTGTATATTATATTATTAATATGAAGAAAGAAAATCAAAACAATAGTTAATGAGAAGTGGGAATTTAAAACAAAGTATATAATAGAGCCAAAAACGTCAATTTCTCTATTGACTTTGCATTTTGGTATCTAAATATTTAGAGTAGTGCATTATACACCACATAATTTAGAAAATAATTTATATGGTCCGTATACGTTTGCCGCTATATCGTGTGGCTGATGCCGAAAGTTGAAACCTTGTCCCTCCACTTGCTCTAAATAATTATTTAACCCCACACGGAAATTATATTTATTATTTATGTCCCCCAAAACTTTAAAAAGCTGGTCATTCAATAATTGTGCACAAGTTTCTATGAACGTATATGTGTATAATTAATTGCAATCAAATACTACTTTAGTTTAATCTTTTGGAAGTTGTCATAATCAGAGCGTCAAGCACACTAAATTCATGCTAATTAGTAAAGAATAAAAATGATTAGGGATTCATTTAAAATTGTATGAAGAACAGTGAAAAATGAAAATACCAAGTTTGGAACCGTTTTTATTTTGTTTTCATTGTTTCCCCAAAACAAAATGGGATTTATTACACTTTTCAAATCATTTTCTCAAAACAATTTCAAAAGTTTCTCTCTCCTTCAGACATGATGTGACTGCTACAGTAAAAAATGTCTTCACTAAAAAACAAATAAACATCACTTCACCTTTCAATTTTTTTCTTCAAAAATATCTTTTTCTAACACCTTTAAACATGATTTGATTGCTACAGTGTATTTTGTCTCATTCCAAAATACAAACAAACATTACTTTCATTCTCAAATTATTCCCCCAAAACATATTTCCTCAAAATGAAATCAAAATAAGATCCAAAACGCTTCCAAACATTGTCCAAATGTTTATCATCTCAAATTTCAAGAGTCAAGACCACGAAATCAAACAACCAACTCATTAACTTTAAGATAAAATAAAATATTATTATTATTATTATTAAATTTCAAGATTTTGTGCCCCCTTTCTGACAGATCACATAATTCCGTCCCTAAAAAAATATCCCATTGACAGGTGTAATAAACAAGCTGATGAAAAAACAATTTCATAAACAAATATTTTTGGGCACAAAATCTCCCAGAACTTAAGCTAAATTATAAAAATACTTTCACTTATCTGTAATTACCAAAATCATCCCGACATTTGTTTTCGTCTTACACCGGCCCCATTATGGTGTGATTTTTTAGTCGAGGGAATATTCCCCAAAAAATGATTCTACCCTTACAAATGTCGATGAGGATTTTGGTAATCACACCACAAGGGGGGTCGGTATAAGAAGAAAACAAACACCGATGACAGACGATGGTGTTTTTCATAATTTAGCCTAAGTTCAAGGAGATTTTCGTAATTTACCAATAATTTTTTTATTATATATACTGCTCTTATCTTCTCAGAAAAAGAAAATAGTATTTACAGATTGTAAAGCTGCTAGACAGTAGTACATGCAATTTCAGAGATTGAAGGGTCATTTCATTATTCTTTCATTACCACACTACATAATAATATTATACGTATCATTAAACAAATTTTAATCTTCTAATTTTCGTTATATACAATTAATAATATACGGTTTCAAAAAAGAAAAAAGAAACTATACATACATGTCAGATTAACAATAACATGACAGTACAATCTGTATACACATAAATGTTAAAAAAAACATTTCTTGATAAATCCCAAAAAATATATATAAGAACTATGAGCCCTTAATTACAACAAATGTACATATGCAAGATTTGATGAGGTGTCAAATCAGAAAATGGTGTCGATAGTGAGTTTTCTCCTCGAGGGTGTTTTCTCTTCTACTTGTTTTTCCAATTCCATAAAAGTCGAACCCTTGTGTGCAAACAACCTCCGTAGATTGATGACCGAAAGCTCGTTAAAACTGCCCACTGCCAGGTCAGCCTGCCCTAGATCATACCTGCATTTTTGAACTATTTCATTTATATATATTCACACATGAATAAAAATGCTGAGATGAGAAAAGTAAAATCGAGTGAAACGTACGCTGGATGGGCACCAATCAGAGCTACAGCCATCATCGTACAATTGTGTGCTGCGGTAATTCCCCTCGGGTCGTCTTCAAATACCACGCACTTTGAGGGTTTTCTGTCCAACTGTAAAAAACAAATTCAAAAGCCGATTAACTTATGCTAATTAAGAAAAAAAGGGTTTCGTTTATTTTACCATCGTATATTTCTTCACGTAAATATTCCCAATTTTCTTTGCATTGAACATACCTTTACAGCAGCTGAAAGGAATCTATGGGCTATGGATTCCATTCCGTCTTCCTCAGACACAATGGCCTGCAATTTCGAAAAAAGAGATAATTTTAACTATCTTCATAAAGATTCGTAGTTTGTATATATATATTGTGTGTGTGTGTGTGTGGTTGTGAGAGAGAGAGAGAGACCTGAAAAAACTTCTTGAGTCCCATTCGATCTAAAGTCTCAACCATGTTTTTGCGGCCAAGACTCGAAACAACTGCACAAGGGATTCGAGATGTAGCTACAGCATCTAACCATTCTCTTACCCCTTCTATCGGTTCCGACACCTACAGAATAAAAGGAAATTATACATATATATAGAGAGAGAATATTCATCGCTGCATCCGTCTAAGACAAGCAAACATGCACAAATAAATATATTGAAACAACTTACATCGACAAGATTGTCGTAATATAACTGAGAGATCCTCGATTTCAGTCTATCTATATCATCTTCAGCCTTCCCCCAGCGCAGCACCTGAGAAATTTTGTCAAAAGTTAAGCTGTTCTTATTTATATAAAAGTATACTCGAGAACCATTTATTAATATCTTGTTTATATATATATATATATATATATATATATATATATATATATATATATATATATATATATATATATATATATATATATATAGAGAGAGAGAGAGAGAGAGAGAGAGACACACACATTAGGTCTTAATAAAATACACGTGTCTGGAAAAAAACCGTGCAAGAAATGTAAATCATGTTGGATTACGAACCTTGTGCAAGACATGTTCAACATCGCCATATAGTAAAAATCTTTTCAAACTGACACCTCTGGGAATCTCCTTTCCTGCGCAGTAATTACTATTTAGTCGTAACAAGTAGTAATCTCCGAGGCACTAGAGTTATTTCGTTTATCCCATTGAATTAAAAATTACATTTTCTATTTCATCGAATTAAAAGATTGTTCAATGAAGTAAATGAACAGAAACCAAAAGTGGGAATGCTGCAGACCTTCTTCAGATGCAAGTTGTTCCCATGCACGCAACTTTAAAGCTCGAGTATCTGCCTGCAACACAATTAAAGAACAGAAAACTTAGTAATCGTTATTTTGGTAAAGACAAAATATACTACTTGAGGGAATCTTTTGCATTAATTATTAATAAAATATACATATTTGAGGGATGAAAAAAAACCGAAACCCTTTATGCTTTATCTAATCTATTATCTTAACAATTAATTTTTTCATATATAACGACAAGGACACCCAACCATGTGATGAAGGAGTACGAAATCAATCTGCAGTTTTGGTTATCTTAGATTACTTAGTACACAAGAGAGCCTGAAACCTTTCAGGGTATAACTGACGGCTTTCTTGAATAATTGCAATTAAACGAATATACATTTACTCAGCCAAAATATGATCATAAAGTCCGCCACTAAAGCGCACTCGTCTTAAAAGCCCATTTTTTTGAAACGCTATTGTAGACAATATCTAAATGAGAAACTACGTGACGACCAAAAAAGTGTTATGAAATACAGAGCTCGCTTTCCATATGAAAATGGATATTTTGTATGTAGCTACGGACTTCATCCATATGAAAAGGGATATTTCGTCAGTTAACAAGTTACATATGAATTATGATGTCTTTATGCTCTTTAAAACGAGAATTCTACACCTGAATAAGTTCCCAAATTAAAATAAGATTCTTCACCGGCATAATTTTGCTATCATATATCACGACTTTTGCTCATCTCAAAGATGTAACGCAATATCTGTTTTCGGTATCATACGAATGGCGAATTAAACAGTTTGTGGCATAGCAAACAATTAATATTAAAATTCAAGAAATTACCACGACGTTATCCCAAGAGAAGATAAGGCCATAGGCCTCATCTGGCTTCATTGCGTAGCGAATTCTTTGCAGAAACCCTTCTTGCATTCTGTCATTTAAAAAATCCTAACAAAAAAACCACCAAACAAACAAAACAACTATAAATCCTCACTACAAGATTTAAAAACCGGATACAACTGGAGTTTCACGAAAAGCGAAATCGAAAAACGAAAGGCTTACCACATCAACTTTAAGTGGACCTTCTGGTCTAAAAGTTTCGAAACCTTCCCCATATTCAGCTCCAATTACCTGGAAAACAAATCAATCAAATTAAGTTCCATTAAATTACATATACCGCCAATTTCGTATGATAATAAATACCAGGAATTAATTCAATGAAAATGAAAATAGAGCACCTCTTGGGTGAAAATTTTGTCGGGTAAATTGGGGAACCCGTTAAGCTGCCCATTTTCATCCGACCCGAAAGCGTTCCTTATTAATACAGATTTATTATTATTATTATTATTATTCCGGTGGTGTTGCAGTGAGCTTGAGCGTTTAAACCTCTGTTCGTTGCAGATAAACCAAAGGGGGTTTAACAAGGCGAATAATCAATCAATAAATCAATAACAAATACACAATAGAGAAAGAGATGGTACTGGAAGCAGAATTCGTACCGTGAATATTATTCTGGATGAGAGATGAGAAGGAAACGTCGTCGTATTGAGCGGAAGTAGAGAGGAGCTTCTCAGGTTTAAAGCGTTCTCCATTTTTAAGGGTTCACGAGCTCTGGAAATCTCGTCGAGTAAAGAAGCTCTTTTTATGTGGGTTTTGGTTTGGGCTTTTTTTTTTTTTTTTTTATTTATTATTATTTATTAATTATTAAATTCTTTTATTGGTAAGAATAATTGCTGAATTAGTATGCATTTAATTGTATTAAATAGTTTAATTTATAAATAATTTGGGGTTAGCAAAAATAAATAGATGTGTGACTATGGGAAGAGGGTATTTTTATTAAATTAGACTATAAAAACAAATAAATGAAAGTTTCGGATAATTCAACTTCGTACAATAGGACATCCACGTGTGTTTCTTGATTATTATCCTTCATAACTATCTCAAACCTACAATCGACATTTAAAAATGAAGGAATTGGCATCATATTAATTAGTTTATTATTTAATTATTTATTTAGTTATTAATTAATTAGTATAGTTTATATAAGTTATAGAGTCACGTAAAGACCGTTTAGTTAGGAAGATTAGCCAACATTAACTAAATACTGAGATTTAATTTGGTGTTTGTTACCCCTGTTATTTTCTCGGTCGACTCGTTAAAATAATTTTGTCATTACGTATAATGTCTAATTGGGAGATAACTAATTGGACATTGTGATGTTCAATAAAATTAGTGTGATGTAATTAATTACGATAATGACAAAGTCTTTCTAAGTTTCATCTAATTATCACAATGACATATTGAATTATTTAAAAAAAAATTAGTATAAAACAAATAAAAAATTCGAAAAAAGTTAAACAAAATAAGTAAAAAAAACAAAAAAAAAAAATTAAAATATATATATTTTTCGAAAAAAAATCGGAAAACAAAATTCCAAAAATATGTTTTTTTCGAAAATAATAAAAAATGTATTTTCTAAAAAAAATCGAATATTTTTGAAAAATATTCTTTTCGGAAAAAAATCGAAAACTAGATTTTGTTTTTGGAAAAATTAAAAATAAAAATCAAAAAATAATTAATAGGGTAAATGGCACGTTGCCCCCAAACTATAATGCCTTTTGCACGTTACCCCCTGGACTAGAAACATTTACAAATTTTTACCTAAACTCGGAAAATGTTGCCACAATGGCCTAAATTTGCCGGAATTGTTCAATTTTCGCCGAATCACACTCACGGGCGTCGTACATGAGATTTTTAAGGGTACAATTGTCAATTTAGATCAAACTAAACCCTAGCAGACGGCTAATAACTCGAGAAGGGAAGGATCTAAATGTCGTGGGAATATCTCGAGTGGCTCGCTCAACTAGCAACTTTTATGGGATATCTAGTGAGCATAATTTACAACAGCCAGCTGGTGATGCCGAAAGGGTAAAACGGACTTTCATCAATAAGCATGTATTGTTCGGCTTTTCAATCAATTGGGCCGGGCTAAGAAGTTTCATTGGTTTGGGCCTCTTTATATTGGGCCGGCAATTAAGTTTGTTTTTAGTTGAGCTTTTCAATCAATTGGGCCGGTCTCGGAAGTTTCGGCCTTTTATTTAATGGTATTTTTTAAAAGTATAGAAAAAAAGAAAAAAAAAAAAAAAGAACAATTATTCAACAACCTAATACTCTAGTCCAGTATAGTTTAATAATTATTCTTGGAATTATAATATTCTAGTACATTATATCCACATAAGTATTTCAATCTAAATCTAAAAAATGAAAAAAATACGTATAGTTTTGCAGAGTTGGGTATTTTAAAAATAAATAAATAATCATAATACCAATGCAACGGGCCTACAAATTAGATTAGCCGAAATAACTAAAATTAATTTGGGCCTTCCATTCGGCCCGTTTTCAATATTTAGTCCACCATAATTTCTATGTTCAGAAAGACAAAAAAGAAAAAAAAAAACTTAATTAATTACATAGATAGATTCCGAAAACAAGAATCTGAACATCACAAATCTTGCCCAAAATTCTTCAAATTACCTTTTAATATCCCATATATATTTAAATTAATTACAATTAGCCAAAATGACTTGCCTCCAAGTATCTCTGCAACAAAGAATAACCACTCTTCTCCTATCTTTTAAGGAGCTTTCTTAGTTAACCAACTCGGCCGAAACCTACACACAAATACGCATAGTTTTAATTAAACCAAATTAAATACCAAGATCTATATTAAACACTACTTAGCTTTAAATCGAGAAAAAACCGAGAACAGGGAAAGTGCATACGGATCTTCGGAGTCGAAGGTCCAGTGTGATCCAGATAGGGAGAACCCGATTCCATCAAAGCTTTCAGAACCATAATATAAATCGCAGCCCTCGTAATTCTGCAATTAAATTCAAACACCATTTGATTCAATACAATAAAAGTATAAAACCTATGTCAAACTACAGTTGGAGTTATTAGCAGATCGAAATAAGAAGAATGTGAGAGAAATGATGAAACCTCTTCAAGATTTCCAGCCTCAGCTGAATCGGCCTCGTCATCAATCTACATTACAACAATCTCATTACCACCGTTTGTAAAAAAAAGCCTTGCTTTTTTGTAGTAAGTTCGAACATGCATGGAGTTGTCACTTTTGTTGATAAAATCTTGAAAAGTTGAAATTTTTAAAACGGAATTAATGTTATAACATTAAATATTACCCATTGAATCTCTTGTTCCTCTTTGTGCAACAGCTTCTCATAAGCTGAGTTCACTTTATCTGCTTGAACGACAAAAGGTTGCCTCTCCTGCGAAACACCACAACTCAATAATCAACAACTATAAGTAGATAGAAATTTCAAGAATTAAATCCATGCAATACGATACCTCAACCGACATGTTCTTCCATGTCTCGAATCCCTTCTTATCTATCTCAACTTCATTTTCATCTTTGCACGTCTTCGTAAATTCTTCCCTATTAAAAACCCAAAATTACGGTAGAATAATCGATTGTCACCTAAACAAATCAAGAAAATAGTTCGACTGGCTAAGTGCATTTCAAGTCGATCTAAGGATTCACTTGCGAGTTCTCGTTTTCGATAATATTAATAACATGAGGACTTTGTTAATAATTAGAGTAGACACAAACATGGTGAATACATTAATTAAATTCAAACCCATTCACTTAATCTATAACTACCAGCTTCAATAACTAGTGGTTCATGATGCAAATAAGTAAACATGCTCACAAAACCCCCAAAAAATTAATTAATGAAAAAAATAAAAATAATTAAACATACATGAAAAAATGAAAAGCCGATCGGGGCTGATCCTGAATACTCTGCTCAGTGACGTCACCATTCTCCAATGGAATTTTCAGTTTTTTTCTCGCCTTCTTTTTGAATTCACACTCGTGCATATCACCCAAAGCAATAGGTACTGAAATCCCACAACTCCCACTGCAAATCAAAAAAGAAAAAAATCGAATCGCATTTCTATAATCGTGATATAAACAGAAAATACGACGAACGTGTTAAAAATTACGAAGAGAGAGAGAGAGAGAAGAAATTAATGGAAAGGGGAGAAAACCATTTATGGAAGGCGCTGCCGTCGGGACCACGGTGGATTGCGTGGACCCGCTTCCGCCGGTGCGCCATTGAAGCTTGAAAGCTACTACGCCTTTAAAGAAGCGATTGAGTTTTCAATTTGGGAATTAATTTTCATTTATTATAGCGGATTGCGCCTGCGCATTTTTTTAACGTGCGCCTTTTGGCGCATTTTTTAATGCTGGGCTCTCTAGGGTGCTAGGGTGTACGGGGCTCATTTTAGCAAGGAGGATAAATAGCGCTGGCGGGGGTTTTTCAATTAATTAAAATGTGAAACTTTTTTTCCCGCGAGTGACTCAAAAGGTTGAGAAAAAGCGCACTAGGCCTGTCAAGACGGGACACGTGTCTCCGTTTATGGAATGTGGGAACACCACTTTAAGATTTGTTCGATGCTACACCCGGTGAAAAACACCGGGTGGGTATTCTGCTGCCACGTGTCTCTTTTTTGTATTTTATAATAGATTCCTCGCTAGAGTTTACCTTTAGGGGTTTTAGAAAAATAAAAAAAAAAACACGTGGTAGCAGAAGACCCACCCGGTGTTTTTCACCCGGTGTAGCATCGAAGGAACCCCACTTTAACTGCACACGTCAGATGGCCGCCAAAAACACCTCCGTAATTTCCAAGTACCGAAATTACCCTTCATTGGGGAAGAAATCAAATACTGATAGAGGGGTAGTCTGGGTAATTCCATTTGAGTTGACGTGGAAGGTTTGACGTGTAAAATTGTAATCGAAGATGATGTATCGTAAGTAGGCCTAAGAAAAGAAAATTAATGAGGGTTAATCGGTTGCTTAGTTTAGCCAAATCCTAGGATTCTTCGACCCATCAAAATCAATAGATACCAAGAAAATGACGTCATTAATTCAAATAATTATAATAAACTAAGAAATAATAATAATAAAAATATAATTAAATATCGTTTGGGTTTAACCCAATTTAAGCTGGGCTACTCTAAATTGGGCTTTTGGATTAATTGGGCCTTCTTAACTAGTTAAAAGCCCAACATAATACAGTTAACAAAAGAGCATTTTTATCTTCCATTAACTGAAATAACTAACTCAGCCAGCAATATATATAACAACTCCACACAAATGAAATCATTACAAAGCAACCAACAATTAGAAGAAAAAATATAGAGTAAATCAGAATCTAATTTGACCCTATTCGATTTGAGCTTTTTTCTTGCTCGACTTAGTCGGAATCGGAACTCGGATGAACCCAAATTTCTTCCTCTGTATAAAGTACCGCTTTTCGACTTTCATTTCCGATGGCGGATTCGTAATAATAACAGGATGTAATAAAACTCCACTCTTTTCTTGCAGCATTTGGCTCAAAGAAACACGCTCCCTCTCCGAACAATCGTCCACGTCTCTCTCCGATTTAGTACTCAGAATGTCCGATGATTTCTCAAAATTCGATTTGAATAAAACCTCGTTTTCAGATTCTTTGTCTTCTGTTACGGGCTCCTCAAATTTCTCAAGAATAGGCATTTCAAGATAATGGGCTTCATTTGCTTTCTGAGTAAGAGCTTTGTACTCTTGCAACGAAAGAGTTGTTTCGTCGGGAATATTTTTGAAACGACCCCCTTTTTTAGCAAGGGAAATAGCTTCAACCGCTTTAGCCGCCTCCTCGATTTTCTTGGCTGCGTTTAACCTCAATTCCGCCATTAAAATACTGTTCTTTGTACTTTCGATGTCTTTGATCGCCTTCATCACCTCGTATCTAGAAGCTTCCGTCATCTTCTTGAACTGCTCAGCCTCAAAATTTCCTTGTATTGTTGGCATCTTACTTCTCGTTTCGGACAAAACCTTATCCTGTCGGAGTTTCTTGGTAAGAGACTCGAGTGATGATTGAACCACGGCAAGATCTACCGAAGTTCTATTAACGTTCGTCTTTGCCCGATTCAAATTGAAAAACATCGAACCGGGCCCCGCAGTTGAATTCTCGTAGGGAGCTTTGACACGGCATTGCGGCGAAATCAAATAGTTGAGTTTTAACGACTCGACGAATTTTTTAGCCGCTTCGAGTTCTTTCAAGACATGAAGTGTTTCGTGGTGTTTAATGATCAGATCCATCTCCAATTGCACTGCTTGTTCCTCCATTCTGTCCATCTCGAAAACCTCGTTTTCGTGCTGCGAGAATCGAAACTCTTAATGAGCTATATATAATGCATATTTATCATAAGGAGCAAAACAACTAATTAAAATTACATCATCATCCCTAAAATCAAGAATTTATTACATGTGTTACAGTCTTGAAGCACTTTATTAATCAAATTGTCACAGCTCGAAAATTAGAACATAGACTCAGAAAATTGTTTTTATTTTCTCTCATATGATGGTAAACGTCAAGACAGGATTTTTATTTATATGAAACATCAATCAGCTAAAAATCATGTGTGTGTGTGTGTGTGTGTGTGTGTGTGTGTGTGTGTGTGTGTGTGTGTGTGAGTGTGTATGTGTGTGTGTGTGTGTGTGAGAGAGAGAGAGAGAGAGAGAGAGAGTACTAACAGGAGGGGCGGGTAAAGGAAGCAAGTCATGAGGAATCCAGGGGCCGCTGCCGCCGAAGCGGACCGATTCGAACGGCGGCGAAGTATCGATTTCCACTCTAGGGTTTGCAATTGTCTTCTTCGTCTCTGTTTCCACCATAACTCCAAAGTGAATCAAACCTTGTTTTACGACGGATAATATACAGAAGAAGAAGCCAATCAAAAAGGGGATTGTTGTGATTGGAAATTTCAGATGATCAGCCACCATGTGATATATATATATATATATATATATATATATATATATATATATATATATATATATATATATATGACTGTTATGATTATGTTTTCAAATTTGAGGGGTAAAAAAAGGGGACCAGTTGAAAGAAGTATTTCTTCTTTGTTAGACGACGTCGTATTGTAGTGAGAAGCGTGGAAGACAAAGTTACAAGATAAAGTAATTAAAACCTTTTTGGACCATTTGATTTATTTAATTATGAGGAAAATGCAAAACATAACAAAATTTAATGAATACAAAGAAGATTGTAAAATAAATTGGATGCATCGATCGAAAATCGCAATTTCGGGAAAACCCGTTTTACATCTTCGAAGGTGAAAATCTACTTCTGAAAAATTCGTTTGCGATTTTTTCGACAATCGAAAATCGGACAATAATCAAAGAGGGGCTTTTGGAAGGGGCACTTTTCAATTGCAATTTGACTTGTTTGAGATGGTTGGTATATAAAGCGATGCTTAAAAAGGCACAAAGGCCTCTCACTAAACCACCAAGCACAATTTCACTAAAAGCAAACACTATATAAAAAGGGACCATTGAAATTAACTCACTTTGCAATTACATTATTTGAAAAACAATCAATGGCATTAGCCTTTTCCGTGATTGCAGGACTAAATATATGTCCGGCATAGATTATTTATATGCTACATTCGGTGAATGTTACATCAGGTGAATTTTTATCGTTGATTTACATGCATCAATATGAGTGCGTGTGTGTGTGTTTGAGTGCTTATGAGTGATAAAGATTTATCCAGTGCAGCATAATATTATTTCATATGCGAAAAATATATTTAGGCCTCGTTCAATTACCTATATTGGACCAGTTTAGATTAGATGGGATTGAATTAATTTTCTACTGACATGTTCGGGTCGTTAGGTTAATTCACATACTAAGTTAATTAAATTCCAGTAGTATATTGAATTTGTCCATAAAACCTCTTGATAAAAATAAATTATGGTCTTAAGGATAAATTAATTTTGCATGGATCAAGATGGGTGCTACTAAACTATTGATATAACAACATGTAGTAGCGGGACTTCAGTTTTTGCAGCGGTTGTGAATTAGGAAGAATCATATTATGTTATTAACCCTTACAATTAATCAGTAAAATCTAACAGTGGTAACCAGACGAGCTCTTAGACTTTGCAGATTCTATATATGGTGAAGTAAATTAAGTAATAGTTCTTTTCTTCTTTTAATTTACAAAAAAGTCAGAATACATGTATATAGATTATGTACGTCATTAATTATTGAAATTTTTTTACACGGTTCAAAATTCTTGTAATCATTAGGGTTATAGGGTATCATAATTAAACACTAATCATCACCTAATAGGCTCTAATGGTGCAATTAATTTGTGCCAATAGACAGCCCATTAAGCACGGTTACATATTCTTCTGACAAATCACAATTTTATGGATCCAAATTCTCGACCCATATATGTATAGGCCCACCCGTACATTCCCTTTGTTACCTTGTCGGGTCAATTTCAAATCCGTTTAGGCCCATTTGGCCTCTCGACCCGGCCCGCCAAATGTTTGTTCTCGACATTGTTCAGACATAAACTGACTTCATTTATGCAATTTTATTATAAATTTGAATTGTCCTAATCAAGATTATTAAATAATTAATTTAATCTGTCACACCCTTACATACTTGTAACATTAGTAAATATAACTGCAACTACTTTACTAGTCGCACATGTTTCATACAACCTTTAAATGCCAACAACTTATAATGGGCTTCTTTATTGCTATGGCCACAATTATTTTCGTCAATTCAATTCTATTGCATTCAAAAAAATTAATTAATACGAGGTCCCAATTCTTTTACTATAGGCAGTAACTGTAATAAATAATTACTGCTACAGAAGTCCCTAATCAATTTTTTATTTGCCTGCTAATTATAATTTGTTATTAATAGAATACGTGGAAGAAGAAGGAGATGAAAACATGTGCAGGAGTCACGTGCGTTGGGAGATTTCGCACGTGTAGTAGATGCTTTGCAGCCGTGGAATCTGGAAAGGCATATGGACGAAGGTGGGGGGGTTTCCATATAAACAAAAATTCAAAACGATAATTGGTGGGAACGACTCTCCTTTCTTATTAATAATTTTACATTACAGTTTTCCCGCTAAATATTTTATGATATTACCATTGACCAATACTATTTATTTATTTATTTTTATTTTTATTTTTGGTTGAGTTGTTCAAATAAATTGAGAGAACCCTAACCGTTTATTATTGGGTGGAGCTCCATGATTAGTGTTGGTTCAAATTGCTGTCCGAACATACACTAAACTAATTTAATTGTTGGGATGTATATATTCAAGAAAGTCAAATTATTTTTATTTGGTCCAGTCGTCGTTGACAATTTCACTTCCTATTTGTATGCATAAGACCCCATCTGGCCATTTCTACTCATTTTATTTTATTATTTTTATTAATTTATTATTTATCATTTGCTAAACTCCCATATGCAAATACTTATAATTAGTAAACATGGAAGCACATCATTAGTTACAATATATACATGTAATATAACTTGGAGACATGTTTAGAGTTGATCCCACAACACCAAATATCAGATTTTAATTTTTTATTTTTTTGTGTTTTATATATATTATTCTGAATAGCAATCAACTTGAACAACTAGCTTTAATCGAGACAAACACAAATTAAAATCGAGTAACTCGGATTTTTATGCATATTTTCGTGATGTTAACGAATCAACCTATATTAATCGAGTATTGAGTAGCTTGATTTTATTTTCAACCGCATAATTTACTATCGATGTTGTCGGTCGGGTCGGTTTTCTCAAAATATAAGTGCAACTAAAATAAAAATAAAGAAAAACACATGCTTACCTTCCTTATTTTTAGGTATCGTTGTGAAACCAACTCATATTTTGCTTACACAAACTTTCGCTAAAATCCATCGAAAATAAATTCGGGCTCATAGGGTAGTTGAGCAAGGCACAGTTATGACTTAATTACGTGAATATTCCCTTTCTCTAGCGTTTGATTTTAATGTTCAAGAGTTGCTATCTCGCGTTCTTTGTTTCGGAAAAAAAAAAAAAAAAAAAAAACCCCTCGAAATGTTCGGATAAATTTCGTAGTCATGCAATAACTCACATAAAATATCAGAATCAAGTAACTTTATTTATTTATTTATTTTTATTTTATTTTATTTTATTCATTTGAAGCTATTACTAAAAGAGTAGTACCAAGAAAAATGCACCAATTTTTGAACAATGGGTTGTTAGAATCCACTACTAACTAATAGTAACTAGTAAGTATAAATGAGGTCATTCACCAACATTTGGGGATCATCAGTTAGTTAAGGATTCTTCCAATTTAATGAGCTTCAATTTCTAGCATCACCCACTATCAAATATTTCCATCTTCATTATATACAATTCTCTCAATTTAATTTACACAAACATTCCCCATAAATGTATGCTCAATTTCTACTATTTATTTATTTATTCCTTCCTATTTCTAACAATAAATAGTTTAACTTACCTAAAAAAAAGTACACATATGTTATTGAATAATCATTAGAAAATTCATGGGATTAGTAGATGACTTGTACTCGGGGCCTTCTAAAGTGGTCCAATGTGGTTGATAATTAACAATTTGGATTGGTCGAAATTGATATATCGATTTGGAAAATCGTATATTTTGAAAGATTTGAATCGGTTAGCTTAAAAGGGCGATAAGTCCCGTCATTAGTGCTTTGTCTATATTATGACCAACTTTATTAGTGACAGTTTTAGTGGAGTAATTAATGAGTTAATCGTGTTATCTAGATAACTAAATCATGTTCTTGATGACATAAGAGTGTCAAGAATGTGAACCAACAACTTGATTGTCTTATCACTTTTTTTTTTTAATTTTGATTTTTGCATATTAATTTGATGGTCCCATCAAAATATTTATAATCATTTAAAGTGAATATTATTGTCAGTTCATAAATTACTGGAAATAAATATACTTTCGACAAGAATACCTGTATATATAGTGCTACATATTAGAGGTAAAACAAAAAGAACATATCAGATGTTAAAGCTTATCAGCTGCTCAAATAAATTCAGCCAAACGGATCCTTAATCTAATTACAATTAGAGTAGTATTTCTGCATTTCAACGATATGTTTGCATCAGTAATTACATTAAATTTCCACATTGTAAAAGAAAAAAAAAGAACTTAAAAATTAATGGCGATGGGCCACAGTATACAGCCAGTTCTCATTAATTATCCCATGCTCAACTGCAACCAAATCTATACTTAACTACTCTTTGCTCATCAAAGTTCTGAACGGTGGAGATCTACCCACGTCAACAACTATAACATCATCCATAATAAATAAATACTAATTAAAAAAGAAAAAAGTAGATGGAATTAGTAGCAACCGGCCAAAAATGTAATAAATATTTTCATTCATATGTAGTCACTAAATGCCCCTACTTAGTAATTAATTAAATAGTCACTAAATAATCTTTTATATTTAATTTTATATTAAATAAACATATTTTTTAAGGAGAAAAAAAAATCCAATTTTACGGTTCAACCCATCAAACCAGATCAAACAAAACAACGATTCGCGATTTAACAGGTTCAATCGGCGCTTCGATCCAAGTTTCAAAACATTAAGTAAAATATGTGCAACAAATTAAATCTTAAAAAAAATATTAGGAGGGAAACTAGTTTGTGTGAATTAAATGTCTTGCGGATTTTGTTCCTTCTACTTACCAAAAAACAATACTATATTGTTTAGTTCATAAAGATCACTACATTCTATGCATCTTATTGAATTTTATATTCATTTAAAAACATATATAATTTTATAATTGACTTTCGGGTCAATCCCATCTTGATATATAATTGCTGAGATCAATAATTAGTTAGTAGAGCTTCCGGGTATCTCTCTCTCTCTCTCTCTCCTTTCTCTCTCTATATTATATAATTGTTCGAACACTATACATTAATACTAGAAACCATTTTCCAACTCCATAGCTCTCTCTCTCTCTCTCTCTCTCTCTCTCTCTCTCTCTCTCTCTCTCTCTCTCTCTCTCTCTCTCTCTCTCTCTCTCTCTCTCTCTCTCTCTCTCTCTCTCTCTCTCTCTCTCTCTCACATACATAGAGAAAAAGAAAATGGAGAACGGCGGCGTAGAGCAGGACGATCAATTTCTCTCGAAGCTTCTGTCAAGGGAAAAGTGCAACACCACCACCACCACCAACAAACAGGGCCGCGAGGCGTACTCCCGGGTGCTGTACTACGGCGGCGCCGCCGGTTCAGAGCCGCACACGTGAGAGTCACACCCCGAGACGCCGAAACACGCGTACAACGACAACCCACACCCGCCGCTGACTCCGCCGCCGTCGTACATGTCAAGCCCTCGAGCAAACCCTTCGTCGCCGTCGCCGCTGCTGCTGCAGAGAAAGCAGTCCAGCAAGAATTCCAAGTTGCTTCAACACCATCTTCCCGAGGGCTCCATCGAAGAAAATCAACGCCTCGAACTCGCCGCCGGCGGGGTCATCTTCTTCTTCCTCCTCCTCTTTTTCGTCTTCTTATTCACTGCCGTCGACGCCATTTCACGCCGGGAAAGAAAATAACTTCAAAACCCGGTCGAGATCGACTGTTCGTCTGGGCATGGAGGAAGATCATGAATACGAGGAAGTGGCGGCGGCGGCGGCGGCCGGGCGGCGGAGGAATAATTCTCCGACATCAACTTTGTGCTTTGGTCCGTCTTCGAGGAGGTTCAGAGGTTATTCTTACCCGATCAAAAGTGTGAAGAAGGTTGTACTCTCCATTGTTGGACATGGAAATAATTAATTAATTAATGCTTAATTAATTAGAAACAGAAAAATAAAATAAAATTAAAAAAGTGATGTTAATTAGCTATACATATAGTTTGATTAATCCTGAGATGTAAGTGTGAATTTCAACAAGTGTATTTTGTATTAATCATGATCATGTCCTGATTTTTGTGTGTCGAAAATCCAAGAGACAAGTTAAACAAAACAATATTTCAATGTTTGATGATGATGATGATTATGATTTCTTTTAATTATTATTATTGTTGTTTATTTTTATTTTTTAATTGAGAAATAATATGCACCGACACACAAAAAGTAATTTCTTTTTGTTTCTTACCTTTTGTAAATGAATTTTATCTCATTAATTAATCAACAAGAAGATGCATGCAAACAAATTTAGTAAAAATAAAGCAGTACCGAGGCCCATCAATATATGGTCCGAATAGAAAAATAATAATATCCAAATCAATAATTAATTAAAATATGTTTGTCAATAAAAGCAATTCAGAGCATATATATATATATAGAGAGAGAGAGAGAGAGAGAGAGAGAGAGAGAGAGAGAGAGAGAGAGAGAGAGAGAAAATACATCAACATATAATTAAACTGGTATTTACATAAATCTGGAAGCTAAAAGCTTCATCCACCAGTCACTCGTCATCAATTAATCTTAATAAGTATTTAAAATACATTGATTAGTGGTTGAACATGGGCTTTCAATTATAGTAAAACAAATTATCAAAAATAAAAAAGAAAAAAAAGTATAGTAAAACAAGGTCATGAACATGGCCCAAGGAAAAACGGCCTAAGATTAGAAGCCCAACTATGTTGAAAGAGCACACGAAGAGGAAGGTCGCACCTCACAACGAATGACGACACGAGGCCATATCTCGGGGCGATGGGAAAAGCCTCGGGTCGCTGTTATTAATGAACTAGGATGTGTATTTAACCTAAAAGCCCGTTAAATACGACATACCCAAATAAAAAGAGAATTAGGTTAAAAAACCCTAATGAGGCTTAGCTTGCATATCAAGGCATGACATGTGGTACATAGGAAGTTCATAAAAATTGAAAAGACTCTTACTGCATTTTTCTACAAGAAACATACAATATATTCTTAAACACTGAACTGACTTGATCGTCGGAGCTTCTATGCTGAAAAATCCCTCCAGGTGTTGCAGGAACGACGACCGACCAAGACTCGGGCATAGTTGGAGGCTAACATCAGAGCTAAAAATATAAATATTTCTAATTTTGGAAAGTTGAAATAAACGTTTCAATTGAATGTGGACTATTGAGTTCAAATGTTTGGTCCAATGACTATGATGAGTAATACATAATTGGGCCCAAGAAAAACATTATAAATGTGTCCTATATAAACCGGCCCAAAAGATTAATAAAATTAAAAACTATATATTATAATATTTCCTAGCTCAGTTCTTGTGTGTTTTTTTTGTTAATTTGTAACCTGTTTTCAAATTATCCAACACACACGCAAACGTTTATAAATCCATACATATTTTACGTACAATGTTTACATGTATATGCGTGTGAGTACTATACATACTGTAAAATCGATTAAAGGTGAAAAATTACCCGACGTATTACAACAAATGCAACATCTACAAGACCTTTTGTTAATTGCATGATGATCTGTTAATCTTCTGAAAACTTAATAAACATAAATTAATTTAACCTTGTTCATGACATGCAGAGAGACTCTGATTAATTAATTAAGTAATTAATTGTGGTAAAATAATGATCAGCCAATTACAGCTAAGGCTTGTACTTCCCAAGACGTACCATGGTATTGAAACTTCAAGAATCCAATTTAGGGTTTCCAAATATATGAAATTAATTGTTAGATAACATAGATAAACATATACTTTTTTTTTTTTAAATCCATAATTTGTACTCATGAAACAATTTGCAGGGTAGTACTGAAAAAACTGATTAATTAGTTTTAGTAGTAGTGGGTGAACAATGGGGCGGGTTATTTGCCTTAAAATACGGGTCAAACAAGAATCCATGGCGTCATAATTTCCTTCAACTCTAAGCAAACATATATATATATATATGTATATATATATATATATATATATACACACATATATATATATATATATATACATACATACCCCTTTTCTTTATTATTCCTCCATCACCACCCACCTTGAAATAACGTTCCACATATTTAGATTTTTTTAATCTTTCTGTACGTTTCTCCCCCTTAAGAAATTAACTGTTTATGATCAATTTTTAATTAATATTATCTAAAAAATTGATTTTTTTTTTGTCCTTGTTCAGTTCTCTTCACTATGTACATACTAAATTGGATACAATTGTAAGAGATTTATTTGCTAATTAATTTAGCAAATTCTTTAATGTAGTTATACACACAAACTATATGTCTGCATATTATATATATAGATCGAAAACTCGAATTCTTGAACTTAGAATGAAGGCTAGGCTGTGAGATTTTTATATTTGAAACTTGCCATTTGGAAAAGTTTAGGTGAGATGTCCTAATTAATGAATTGTAGCAACGTGCTATATATATTTTTAGTCACTACTAAGCCACTATTAATGTAAAGATAAATATTTCATAATCTTGAAGGTGTCCCGTCGTTTTATGTGAAAATTACTGAAATTTTTTAGCCACGATTCTTCGCATTTAGCTCTCGAGAAACGACTAATAGTTAGTGAAGTAAGCACATGATTAGCAAGTAAACGCAACTGCGAAGTGATTAATTAGTTTAGACTGCATGCATACTAATCGTAGTTGAATTCACTCTTTAAATCAGATTAACCATTAATTTATGTCACTCAACCCTATTTATGAAAAAGTACAGAATCTGTGTGAGTGAAATATTAAATATACTTATGAGTAAAATCTGTTTGAGTGAAATATTAAACATTTATTTTTATGGAAAACAAGCTATATCTGAAATAGAATTAGAAATCAAAGAATGTATACTTCACTTTTTTTTTTTTTTTTTTTAAAAATCTACTTCAAAAGTCAACAACTAAAAACTCGCACGTGAGGGTTGCGTGAGAAAAAGCTGGCATTTTTATTGAGTTTTTTACTTTTAATTCCAAAGTGTACTAGTACGTGTGTGTTTGTGTCGTCATGTTTCGTCATCATAATATTAATTCCAAAAATTCTTTTTATTTTATTTATTTATTTTATTTTAATTCGGGAAGAACAATAATTGTAATAAGTGTTAATTATTGAATCCTCGTACAAGTACCAAGAAGAAGGCCACAAAATTAATTGCCTAATTGTTATAATGTAGGCAAATTAATGAAAGGAGGTCTTAATAATAATAATATAAGTTCATTTTCAGTTCTTTATCATATCTTTTTGGCAGTTTGTATATTCAAACTATTATGTACCTTCTTTTTCATCATTTTCTTGCCTTTTAAGCACTCTTAACTATCTCTCTCTCCCCCTATCTCTTTCTCTCTCATCACCATTTTATACACTACCTTCTCTCTCTCTCTCTCTCTCTCTCTCTCTCTCTCTCTCTGAAATCTTCAGCTGGCTCTCTCTCTCTCTCTCTCTCTGAAATCTTCAGCTGGCACAACTAATTATCAGATCCTAGTATGCCTGAATGTCCACAGAGAGGTATTTTGCTGATGGCATTCAAGAGCAATTAATTAATTTCAAAGGAGTACTAAATAAATAAATAAAATTCCAAAAAAAAAATAATTAATTTAATTTCTTGAGATTAATTCTGATAAAAATGTATGATTTTGGTGGTGCAGGGAGAGATTTGATGAGGAGATAGCCAAGAAGATCAAGAGAGAATCCGATAATGCCTTCCCACACCACCACCAGAATATCATGGGCGGCGGAGGTAGAAGACACATTTCCGCCGCCGCCGCCGGAACCCTAAACACCGTAACTCCGTGCGCCGCCTGTAAACTCCTGCGGCGGCGCTGCGCCCAAGAATGCCCCTTTTCTCCATACTTCTCCCCTCACGAACCCCACAAATTCGACGCCGTCCACAAAGTCTTCGGTGCCAGCAACGTATCCAAGATGCTTCTGGTAAGCCCTAATCCTCCATATATATCTATATATATATATATACATATATATATATATATATATATATATATATATATATATATATATATATATATATATATTCTCTTTCCTCTGCAATATATATATATAATGGAGTTATGCTAATCTGACATGGGGTAGTACAGGAGGTTCACGAAAGCCAAAGAGCAGATGCAGCAAACAGCCTTGTGTACGAAGCAAACGTACGGCTGAGAGACCCAGTTTACGGCTGCATGGGTGCCATTTCTGCACTGCAACACCAAATTGAATTCTTACACGCCGAATTAAACGCCGTTAGAAACGAGATTCTCAAGTACAAGCAGTATAACACCACTGAAACCAATACTTTGCTTCATTCTTCTTCTTCTTCCTCGCATATAACACTGCATCCATCTGGTGCGGTTTCTATTGCGGCTCCGCCGCCACCTACACCGCCGCCGCCGCCGCCTTCACTTCCGATCAGACCGCTGCTGTCGTCGTCTCCCATGTATAACCCAGTTACATCATCATCGTCCGGTGCTGCGGGTGGTGACTTTAGCACTGAAAATATAACCTATTTTGGGTAATTAATTAATTAATTACTTAATTTATTTGGCCTTCTAATGAATTTATTACCTAATTACGTACATTGGCAGTCACGAGGATGGCTTTAATGACTAATAAAAATACATTATTCTGTCCCTTTTTTTTTTTTTTTTTTTTTTTTTTTTTTAATTATGTCAAACCAGCTACATTTAAGCCTATATTCTATACATTTTGTACTCTTTAATTATTTATTATTTATATATCTATGTATTTAATTATTTAATAATATATTAATGAGTAAATCTCAACATCTCTCACATGGAGATGGTGACTGTATTTGGTCCAAAGTCCAGATTGCTTCTAATTGTCGCATCTCTCTTATCTCTAGACCATTTTCTACGTATTTTGACTATATTTTATGTAAATTAACATTTTATTTAAAAATTTAACTTCTCAAATTAATTTAATTTTACTGACACGAATAAAAACATGAGTTTGAATTATAACAAATATTTATGTCACTGCAATTTTTATTTATTTCTCTCAATTAAAAAAATATATATAACTAGTGATAACTAGAAATTTTATCTTCTTATGTTAAGGGTAAATTCGTTATTTGCAATTCAGTAAATGCAATTATATATTATTTTCCATTTTCTGAAATATATGATTTTATATTTACTAACTGGGCCTGGCCCATATATTCCTGTAGCCCAATTATTGCATGTTTTTCAAATTCTTCTTCCGAAATAAATATTCTCCCAATTGATGAAGCTGTGGACTTGTGGTTTAATTCATTGAAATGTATATGTACATATAAATAAATAAATATATTATTATATTTTAATGATCCGATACATTTAAGATAAAATATTGTTTTCCCGATTTACAGAAAATTTAATATCTATTTTTTGATTTGATTCTGTAGCTACCATAACATATAAAATTATTTATTACTATTTAATATTATATTTGAGAACAAAACAGAGTATGGAAATTAAATTGCATTAAATTGAAGACCATGTTTGTTTAGGAAAAACAAAAGTCGAAAAACAGAGGCAAACAAATCCAAACAGACGCTGACAGACCAAACAAACCACAACACTCTCAAACAAAACATATAATAATAAAATAAAAATAAAAAGGTTTCGAAAAAACTGAGGAAGCAGAACATCAATTAGTTGTCTCTTAATTGAGGATCCTGCAATTTTTCCTTATTTCACCATTAGATCCGGTGACGGGTTTAATATCACCCATCTTGATCATAGCTGCGGCGAAATCTGATCGGAAGGTGGCGGAATCACTGCTGTACGATCGGACAATTGAGTCGGTGCGTCCGCCGCTGCCGCTGAACAGCTGCTGGTCGGAGTGGAGTAAGCCGCGGCGGCTGATGAGGTTCTTGAAGTAGTTGTTGTCGAAGTTCGCCGGCGTCTGGACATCCAACGGGGCCAAGTTGTTGTCTCCGGCGCCGGCGGCTCTCGGGCAGTTACCCCGTCGAGTTTGCGCGAAAGAAGCGTCTAAATTTGTTTCGTTGTATATTCGAGCTCTGAAGCTTGTGCACCTTGCTTGTCCGATTGTGTGAGAACCTGCATGCATGCATGTGTTTTTTTTAATAATTATGACAAATTACGAAAATACCCCTCATATTTGGCTAATTACAATCACCCCTCAACTATGTATTATCTTACGAAAAAACCCCTCAAGAGGTAAATTTTGGGATATTAATTCGGTAAAACCGAACCGAAATTTTGGTACACCAACATTTTCATACTGTTTACCGAACTGAATATACGATTTGATTCGGTAAATAACCGAATTACATAAATTTTATGTAAAAATATTTAAAAGGAGGGGTGGATATAATTACCGAAACGAGAGGGGGGTTTTCGTAATTTGACCATACCTCATGGGGTTGGCTGTAATTTTCCCTAATAATTATATAATATATTGCAGAAATGAATTTAATTTAATTAATATGTTTATTTGAGAAAGGAAAAACCTGAAAGGACAACTAAGTCCTTGGTTGAAAGACCAAGTGAATTGAAACTTGAAATTAGGGTATTGAGATTTGAAGTAGGTGGAGGAATGCTGTTGTTTGCAGCAGCAAGGCTTGCTGTTCTTGAATCCCTTCTTCCCAATTTTACTTTCCAATCAGGCCCTCCTAGCTGCATGCATCCAATTTCCCAAACCAATTAATATATATATATATATATATATATATATATATATATATATATATATATATATATATATATATATATATATATATATATATATATATATATATATATATATATATATATATATATATATATATTTTATGTGAGGGAACTTACGATGACAACCGAGTCGCGAGAAGCGACGGCCAAGATGTCGGCGCAAGAGACAACATTAGGGCACACCTTTTCCACCGCTGATTTAATATTGTCGACGATGTTAAATCCCCTGACAGAGTTCCGATTCGGAAGGGCCGTCTTCTCCCCGGTGAATGATGATGTGTCATCCAGGAGGATTGATCCATCACATCCCTAGGCAAATAAAAAAAATACATTTTTGATTGATATAGGGTCAACTATTCATTGACTCATACAACTTAGTGTAATGTGGAATTAGTTGATACAACAGGGAATATTTATAAATTAAATGATGAGATAAATATATGAGAAATTAATAATAAGAAAATTTACGTTAACGAAGCAATCGTGGAAGAAAAGACGGAGGAGGGAGGCGCCCATGCGAGCCTCGTTTTGAATAGCAGAACGAACGACGGTTTTTACGGTGGTGAAAAGATTAGGGCAAGATTTAGAGTAATAATCAGTGGAGAGTTGAGCTGAGGAGCTTCCTATTAGGAAGACAAGTACAATTGCCAAAGTACAAAATGAAGCCATATTTAATTTGGACAAACGAAAAAAAAAAAAAACCTAAGTTATTAATTATTAGTGTAATTAAGTTCACAATTATGTGATGGGAAAAACTGTAAATATATATAGAGAAGTTGAGTATAGTTCATTATCTGGATAATTAGCCTAATTTATTGGCAGGTTGCCTAACTCGTTGACTCACATTGCATGCCAATTATTTCAACTCTTTGAAAGCACTGACCACGTTAATTAATTATATCATTTTATTTTTTTCCTTTTTCTTAATTAACTTTGATTTGATGACTAACGCTTTTAGATTAATAACTACCCTGCACGAAATTGTAGATTATTAATGATTATTTTTTGTCAAAAGAAGAGGCTCCAAAAGCTATATATGCATGCAAATAGTGAAATGATTTGGTGAGGAAATATATGAAAAGTTATAAGATTAATTTTGACTTATTGTATTAACTAACTAATTAAAACTAATTACTTTCAACTTTCTTCCACAACGAAAAGCAAAAGACCCACCCAGTAATCTTGTCACTTTTTTCTTTTTTTCTTTTTTGATAGTTATAGCTAGTAATTAATTGTGACTAGTAGTAAGTAATGTACCATAAGCATAAATTGTCAAATATCAAAAACATTATATATTTTATAATTTCATTAAAACTCACACAATTACAATCTTTTAAAGTCTTGATAAAAGTCAAATAAAGTCTAGCTTTAATACTTTCAATTAGCAATGGCATTGGTGTAGTAGGTTGAGAAGTTAAATTTCAGAGGAGGGACCCAATTGATATATTTAATTGACCCCCAAAAGAAAAGAGAAAAAAAAAAAAGGAAGAAAAGGAAAGAGCACCGGTTCCTGAAAGCAACTCACTTTATAAGGGTTCGGTGAACTACATACATACCTTATTAAATCAAATATATTTTCACATTCACCATTATTTTTTATTTGTTCGACCCTACACCCGATGATAAACACCGGGTGAGTCTTCTGCTGCCACGTGTCTCTTTTTGTATTTTATAATAGATTCCCCGCTAGGGTTTACCTTTAAGAATTTTAGAAAAATAAAAAAAAGAAACACGTGGCAGCAGAAAACCCACCCGGTATTTATCACCAGGTGTAGGGTCGAAGGAACCATTATTTTTTATTAAATTTACTCGTATCTAAACATGGCATAAATTCATTAATAAATAAATAAAAGGCAATTATCCCATTTTTTTTTTTGTTAAAACTCGTTAATTAAGCCTGCATTAAGATGGCCCAATAGGCAGTGGCCTATAATATTTGGCCCAACTAGTTTATACATAGGCTACTGATACTATAATTCTATTTCCGGGCCGTGACGGGCCGGGCCATAAGCCCACTCCCAAATTTACTATATATTACGAGTTAATAATAATTATGTAATATCCATACAATAATCGGCCTAACTATATTAAACCGAACAACACTAAAAATAATTAATCAAACTTGCAACCCCAAATGAGCCGCCGTCGGCGGCACCACGTCCAACAACAACCCTTTCCCGCCCTCCAATTGCGCCGCCCCCGCCGCCGCCTCTTTATTATTACAACCACCACCCTCAGCTGCCGACTCGACCTTGTAAACATACTTCCTCGACGCAAGCAAGAACGCCCCCAAATTCACCGCCGAAAGCAGCAGAAGGAACCCATAATAATAATCGAGGTGCGAATCGTTCACGTTCTTCCCGATCCAGCTCTTCCCGCCGTTCCTCCCGGTCACCTTATCCACCACCGTCACGAGGAAGCTGTTCAAGAAGTTCCCGACGCCGATCCCGCTCGTGAAGAACGTGGTCCCGAGGCTCTGCATGTCCTCGGGGGACTGGTCATAGAAGAACTCCAGCAACCCGATCGCGTTGAACACGTCAGCAACCCCGAGGAGCACGTACTGCGGCAGCAAGTTGAAGATGCTCATGGGGACCACCTCTCCCCCGCGCGTGATCCCGTGGGATGCGATCACGCGCATGCGCTTCACCTCCACCAGGTACGCGATCGCGATGGCGAGTATCTGGATGAGGAACCCTATCCCCAGGCGCGTGAGCATCGTGATGCCGCGTGGGTTTTGGGTTCGCCTCTGCATGAAGGGGACGAAGTAGCGGTCGTACATGGGGACGGAGATTAGCATTGAGAGGGTGACGAAGCCGCCGAGGGAGGCCGCCGGGATTTGGAAGGTGGGGCCCACGCGCCGGTCTAGGGTTGTGCCTTGTTTGACGAATAGGGTGTTGATTTGTGCCCAGATGGTGCTGGGTATTAGGGTTACCGCCCATATCATAGCCATGCCTAGGACTAGCTTTGTACCCTCCACCTGCGTCACTGTACAAGGTTGTCTTGTCGTCGTACTATTAACGTTGTCCTTTTTTATTGCCGCCGTGTCCAAAAACCTGCATGCATGTGAAATAAAATAAAATAAAATAAAATAATGATTTTTTTTAAAGTTTTGTATTGTATAATTAATTAACATATGGTATTTATATCAACATCGTGCATATATATAATATCTGACATTTGGTAGCAACTTGAATATATATATTGGAAGATATATATAAATAATGGTGGACCATTTGAAGCACTATATATAAAAATGATGAAGATATGCACATGGAATTAAAATAATATTTTGAGATATATATGATCATAATAATTGGGGGAGCCACCATTTGTGCCATTTCTATGGAGATAACCTAGTTGTCACGCATTTACTTTTCAAAATACTACTCCCTCTGTCCCTGAATAAATGTCATTTTAAGCAGATTAATTTGTCCCACATTATATGTCGTTCTCTACTTCCTATGGACTCATAATTTTTTTTCCATGTTTACCCCTAATATTTCTCCAGCGTTAATTAGGGAAGATAAATCAATTTATTATGAATAGATAGTGGAGAGGATATTTTCGTCCATATTACCATATTTTCTCCTACTTTTTAGGTGAATTAAATGCATTCTTAATATGTGTGAAAACCCTCTAAACGCCATTTATTCGGGGACAGAGGGAGTATTAATTATGTCCAATTTCAAAGAAAGAAGAATATTCAATTATGCTAATTTAGACTAAGTACTTAACACTACGTGAATAGATGCACTGCACAACACAATTTTCTGTGTCTAAATTTAGCTTCTTCTCTAGGTTATCTATTTTCAGCTTAAGCAGATTCTAAATATTCGGCTTCGAATTTAAGCAAATGATCCCTTAAATTAAACCATTCATTAAAATAAAGAGTTGACCTGAACATCGGAGAGTGATGGACCCGACGTTTCCTCGTACTAACATAATACTGTTGATCCAGCTCATAAAGCTCGGACGAATCACTCGGCACCCGAAGCTTGGCATTAGCAAAAGCCGTAGAAACGACTCTAAGAAAGTCACCGGCCGGACGGGTAGCCCTCCTCACTTTATGCCTATAAGTCGGAGTTCCCACATAGAAAATAATCAAGGAGAATATAATCCCGACCGTCGGGATTCCGTACCCTAACCCCCACCCCAAATTCTCTTGGATATAAACAAGGCCGAGCGTGGCGAACAGCGCGCCGGTGAACGCACTGAACATCCACCAATTGAAGAAGGACGCCTTGAGCTTTTTCTCGTCGGGGTTAAAATCGTCGAATTGGTCCGCGCCGAATGTCGAGATGTTGGGCTTGGTCCCGCCGGCGCCCATCGCGATCGTGTAGAGCGACGTGTAGAAGAACGCTATCTGCGTCGTGCTGGCCTTGTTGCATACGCCATTCTCGCACGTGGGCTTTAGGAATTTTATCGAAACTGCCATTGTTAGGAGCACCATTCCCTGTTTTTTTTTTTTTTGAGAAATCATTATTACAATGAAGAAACATCGATCAAATTACCCCACCGTTACTAGTTAATTAAAATATCTACCGATTAAATTATAGTTGCACCCAAAACAAAATAAAAAATATGTGGTGAACCTAATTACAGGTCATGAATAATGTTATCATATAGTGGGCATTAATAGTAAAAAGGACCCACAAAAAATTAATAAGAATCCCACTTCATCTATAAATGGCCTATTGGGTTAGGTAAACACAATATTGGCCAAACAAATGGCCTAGCTTTGATTGGTGGATTTAATTTTTATTTTCAATTTTAAAAGATAGAGATTAATAAATTAAAATCAGAATTAATTATGGGACGATGAACTTACAATGACATAAATCAAAGAAGAAATAGTGAAAGTCCAGAAGCGGCCGAGGTAGGAATCGGCAATATAAGCGCCAAGAATCGGAGTTATCCAAACAGAGCCTGACCAGTTGTTTACATTTCTAACTGATGAAACTGTGTCTTCGTGCAGCTGTGTCGTCAGATACACCACTAAATTTGATGCTATCCCGTAAAATGCCATTCTTTCGAATGCTTCGTACCCTGCGCTTCATTATATTTATTTATTTTAACTATATTAATAAATGAATAATTCAAAATTAATTAAGAAGCATAATAATTAATTAATTAATTAATATACCGACGAGGAAAGCACAGGCCTTCCACTTGCCGGTCTTGGCGGCGAGCGCAGGCTGGCCGTGGAGATCGACCGTGCCGTCCTGCGTGTAGCCTTTAGCATCATCCATTCTGAGTTTAATTTCCGACGTTGATTTTTTTTAGTAACAATAAAAAAAGGGAGAAATTAAATTAAATTAAATTAAAGAAGAAGAGGTTCATCGGAAAGACATGATCGAAGAAGAAGCTTTTTGTAGGTGTGTAATTACTAATTAGGACATGAATCAATTTCGGGGGATGGGAAAAGAGTAGGTTGGAAATAATTATGCAGGTGTATGTAGCCACTTTATAATAAGGGTGGTGCTGGTATTTGTGTCACCGGAACAGCCGGTACAATTCTTTTTTTTTTGAGAAAATATTTTTTTATTTCCCTTTTTTAACCCTTGTAGATATGGTTGTGTGGGTTAGATCCAAATTGGATTCGGGTCATATTGCAAGTTCATATTCATTGATATATATATATGTTCTTTTATCATAATTTTGATTATTGAAAAAATAAATTAAAAATCGTTTATGAATGATAAAAGAGAAAGAGTGTGATACGCTGGAAAAATACGTGGATTTGGTCATGAAAAGGGTGTGATATATTTTTTCCTAGTAGGAAGAAGATGGTTCGCTTGCCTAGTCTCGTTTAAGATAAAATTAATCGAGATAAGATTAAATTAATTTTATAAAAATAATTGTTAAAAATTAGTCGAGCATAATGATGTTATTTGACTCTGAATTCTCTTACTTACTAACACTTTCTGAGTCGAACTCAAGATTTGTTTTAGTTGTCAAGTTTCTAGTGGTCCATTATTCTCTTCTTATAAGTAACCTGGACACTAAAATATGTACAGATTATACTAAAAAGAAAGAAAAAGACTAAAATAACCTTATTGTTATTAGTTATTCTCATGAATTAATTCTCTTTCACAACTAATTAAGAGAGAGAAAGAAAAAACATTTAAGCACAAGAAAACAGTATATAACGTAGTGGAGTTGACACGTACACATTAAAGAAGAGAACTTCCACGAATGGTATATATATGGTTGAGAAATATACAGCGATTTCATTGGTCACTAGCGACTTTACTTAAATGCAGTTAGCAACTTTATCTCTCTCTCTCTCTCTCTCTCTCTCTCTCTCTCTCTCTCTCTCTCTCTCTCTCTCTCTCTCTCTTCACAAATCACAAATCACAATCAACAGTTTCAACCACAATCCATTGTGCCCTTTTTCCTTCCCAGTATTTATCCTTCACAAACAAATTAATCAAAGGAAACAAAACGCCACACTAATATGAAATATGCAACAATTTTAATTTCTCCAATTATATTTATATATACATACACTGACACACACACACACACACATATATATATAAATTAGGACAAAAATAAAACATAGAGGAAAAATATGCGAAATTAAATATTAAGTCGATGCAAGTTGATGCTACGTACAAACAACGACCGTTGCATGGCACAGAGGGAAGTGAGCAACAACATAATTATTGAAGTACTTTAATTTGGTCTCTAAATAAAAATATTGTAATATAACCTATGACCTATAATAATAATATAATAGGTCAAAATTAAACCTAGGTTTTTTCAATAACTACGTACCAAGAAATTAAAATGAATGATCGTTAATTCCTCCGTGTCAATTCATTTGAAGCCCCTCCCACTGTGTGTTTTGTGTGTGTGTGTGTGTGATTTGATTCTCACCAATCAGATGCAAGGAAATGTACAATTATTATTCTATCTGCGATTTGATTGGTCATAACATATATCTGTACGACCCAATACAAATATTGCATTTCTTAGACGATGGAGATAATGGGGATATTATATATATATATATATATATATATATATATATATATATATATATATATATATATATATATATATATAGATAAATATAAACCCTTTTATCTACATCCATATATAATTTCTTTTAAATATAAATATTGAGATATATATAA